CCCCCCCCCCCCCCCCCCTTCCAGGGGAGCCTCTTCTGGAAAGTAAAGTGGAAAGAGCCAACGATACATTTCGTTGGTCAATATCTTTCGTTGAAGGTCTCTCTTCACCCTCTTCCGTAATCACTACCAGTGCGATACTACCAGTACTACCAGCTGAATCTGGATTCGTCAGGTCACCGGATCAATGTGACACCTGCACCACGTGACACCTGCGCCGGCAACGATATCGCCGGTAACGAGACACTCATTTCAGGAAAAATGTCAAGTTTCAGATGTATGCCCTGGGGTCACATTTTTGGGAGTGACTTTAAAAAAAAAAAAATTATTGTCCTACCGAGTTTGGCAGAGATAGAAAGGTGAAACTTGGTACATAAGTACCAATTGGGAACCTGAATTCCTAAAAATTTCGACTTTGGAGCTAAATGCCCTGGGGACACAAACTTCAGGGTAAGATGTTTTCAAATATTTTTCTTTTCGCTTTAAACAGTTGAACATGGAAAGATGAAACTTGACATGGACGTGGCTACTGAGACTGAATTCATAAAAAACAAGTCAAGTTTCTGATGCATGCCTTGGGGGCATACCTTTGAGTGGTGATATTTTCAAATAATTTTTTTCCAAAAAGGGCAAATGGATAAGGCTGAAACTTGGTAAGCACGTAGTTCTCCGAGTATTGATTACAGTATAAACGTCACTTTTTAGGTGAAACCCCTGAAGGCAAATTTTTTCCAAAAGGAGCGTTTTCATGAAAATTTTCTCATCCAATGGTTTACGAGTAAAATCGAAGCACTCATCAGGGAAGAGAAGCGAAAATGGGATGCGTAAAAGAGCATGGGAGATACTCGTAGAACGAACTAGAAGAAATATTGGACCACTAGTTAGACGTCGCCGCTACGCTGCCCGTCTAACAGGCGGAAATTTGAATCGTCTATTGTGAGCATAACGTCTTCGCATCCTCTGTTCATGGCAACACCCATTCGGAACTGAACAGCTTTATTAGATTTATATACATACAGTACACAGGGAAATTTTGTTCCTAAACGCCATCATCGTGATATTCGAGTTCATTGCCACGATCAGCCATTGTGAACCCCTCGGTTTAGCTGGTTTCACGAGACTCAAGACGACTTTGCTCATTTCGTTGTACCAGCATTCAATACTCTTGCATCACCGACTAGCTCATGGGCCATTAGCATTAGCTTATGGTACAGATACCGCCGATTCTGAAACAGTACGGGTCATTTCCAAGAACTTGTTCGACTTTAGCACAGAAGGAAGTTAGCGCATGTGCGGCACAATACTAACGAATAATTGCTGAAAATGCCTCGCCACCACATTAGCACCAGCGAGCAACACTTTCAGAGCCTCAGGGTAAAGTGTGAGTTGCAGCAGGAGCATTTTTTCGTTGTGGCAGCAGTGAGAAACAAATGACTATTCCCTGCAGTAAAACGTACAGCGTGATAGTGCTCGCTACGAAAAACGACTGTAGGTATTGAGATGACATGGAGAGGTATGACAAAACGTCCCGAGTTCTGTGGTGTAATGGTAGCAAACCTGACCGGCAAGCAGGAAGTCCTGGTTCAATTCCCGGCCGCCACCCGCCTTTCGACACCTCAGTGCTGCGTTCCTTGCATCAAATGGCTCAGCAGGCTGCAAGGCTCTCCTATACCTGAGCTCAGCATTCGCTGCCGCTTGCCGTTCAGCGGTCTGAGCGGCCCAACGCTTCCTACGTGCAGCTGCGTGCTGTTAATCACTAAGTCTAGTCATTACGACTAGCACCTCCTAAAGCACCGATTTAGGCATTTCGCACCGCAACTGTTGTGGCAAACGTTGTTTCTGCGCCAGCACCAATCGTGTTTTATCTGCGGCGACTGCCTCATCGCCATCCTGTGGGACTTCCTTCATCTTTTTTTCTTCGCGTTCAACCTCACCTCGCAAAAATCGCCATCGTTTTGATGGGAGGAGCGGCCCGTTTGCGCGACATATGAAACAAAGAACTGAAAGGGAGGATATGACATGAAAGCGAGGACATGTCATGTCATGAAAGGGAGGACCGAATTCATTGACCTTCCATCCCTGCAAGATGCTACAAAGGAAGAATGAGAGGAACGGTCTCAAAGGTTTATTGACCGAGACATTCATCTCTGGTATCACAGACGAGAGT